ACAGCTTTGAAATTCAAAGTAGGACCTTCATGAAACTTTAACTTGAAACTGAGGCTGATGAAGACTACACACCCAACCTTTCCTGAAAGCCATTAGTATTCAGAACTAATAAGCCAACGATGCAAAAAGTTTATATAAAATCTAGTGTTTGCCACTCACATTACTGTAAAAGCTAAGGTGAAGAAAAGGTACTAAAACTTCTTTTGCTCCTCAGAGCATTGACCGAAGCAATTAAACAAGAAGGAACTGAAGAGCTTCAACATTTTTTACTACAGGATGATTCCACCTCTAATCCTTGTTACTGAAAACACATACATATGCGATTCTTACAGACAACCTTCAGGATATATTATATGTCTTAGTGAAAACCATGTGTTTTATGGCTAATACCAGCAATATCCAATATTCAGTATGTACTATACTCCATCTTTAAACATACTACTGTACTTTATATTCCTCTTCATGTTCCTATACGGACATAGTACTTCATCCACCATAGAAACATAACCAACCATGGCATGAATAGCAGCAGCTGCTTAACAGGTTTTGGCAGATCTAGCGAAAGGCTTAATGAGAAGACTGGCCAAGGTAGCCAAAGTCAGAGATTAATTAAACAGTGAGAATAATGTTACCCAACCTGAAAATTTGACCAGGATATTGAGGTAACTTGTTAATCAAACTGCCATAATGCTTTTAGTCTGGTTAAAAAATAATAAAACAACCACTCTCTATGTCACTGTCTACTAAATCATCAGTTGCTCATTCACCTGCCTCCCTCCCTCAATCTTTTTTTGTTTCTTGGCCGATTTTAACCAAATTCAACAAAAAAGTAGAAGTCTGAGAAATACCACATCCCTACAAACTTTCTAAAAATGAGATAGACAAGAGAAGAAGAAACCCTATTTATATCTCCAGTGAGAGTCAAAGAAGACATTAGATATCAGAAAACCTATATGACAGAAAGACTTTGTAAATGTTTCTGTTACAGAAAACCTTCGGTCTAATCACTGCTCATCAAACATCTAAGGCAATCAACTTTGAGAAATAAACCCACAGGAAATCCTGCTTATTTAATTCCAAGTCATGAAAATAATTAAAAACTGTAAGAGGTCACGACCTGGGATCTGTATCTCATGTAAAAGGCATTATTTTTCACAGGAAAGAATAAATCTTACAGGGTTATCCAAGAAAGAGGATCTTTGTACACCCAACTTTTCTCTGTCTTTTGACAGAGGCTTGGGTTTGTACAATATGCTACATCCATTTCTTTCTTTCAGCTGTTCCTCCAGAACTCTTTTCCTCTAAGCTTAAAACATACATTCTTGCATGAGTATTCCCAACACTAAGTATACTCACACACATCTGTATAATTACAAACCTATTACATTAAGTGAATTTTGCATCTTCATATTGTGACTAAAGTCTTATGATTATGAATAGAATATAAGCTGCTTTTAACCACAGAGTTTTCAACCAGGAAAAGGTTGCATATTATCAGCAAAAGTGTAACGGCTTAGAAAAGAGATTTTAAATGGTTACTTCTAATGCTGGACTTAATTTAAATCCTTTTATTTTTAGTTTAACTCCATGCAGTGGTTCTTACTCCTTGGTGGTATTCTCAGCCCATGTGTACTTCATGGCATAATAGAAAGAAGGTCTGTAACTAATATATGAATACGACATTTGTTCAGAAAATAAACAGATGTTCATCTTTGCCAAAGTGGCATCGGTTGTGAAAATGCATCACAGTAAAAACTTTGAAAACCCTACCTGAATGCAAACCTTCAGAACTCTATGGCACTATAGTTCACTCGTGGGTTACTCATTTGGATGTGAATGTGCAGGCCCCGGTTCATCTCACCAAACACAGACAGCATCAGCCATACCTACCTGGGCCCTCTCCACAACGGAGAGAGGCAGACGCTTCTAGCAGATCATTCATCTCCTCCTCAAGTAAGAGGGTATTTAAGATAGGTATGGTGAAACCATCCATATCTCTATAAAAGGAGCCTAATTGTCTGGTGTTGGTGCAGTCAAATCACATTCCTACACTTTGGCAATATCCTGTTTTAGGAACTGATGTGCTCATCCTGATGCATGATCAAAAAATATGCAGTGTGAGCACCTGTTGGTGGAGAGACACTAAGTATCATGCAGTGATGATGGATTATTTATTTTTTTTATATCCACTTGATAATGAGTCAGTAACCCACTGATAACTAGTTAGTAATTTTCTTTCAGTTAGTGAAATTATCCAGGAGAAAACACATTTGAATTCACAAACATTAAAAACTTGTAAAAGCAGTTCTGTGTTGGGACACTCCACTTTCTCAGACGAAAAGTTATTATCATATTTTCAAGACAAAATGAAGTGTACAGCAAAATCATGGATCCGTTCTTCACTAAATTTAACTTTCAGTATGCAAAATATAAACTGAGAAAAATTTGGAGCTATAAACATCAGAGGTATACTGCTGAAAATCAGATATTTATAGAAGTAAAGTAATACGATATAGCAAGAGATTTTAAAAGTACTAAAAGTTAGCTTCTTAATATTACACAAGCACTAGTTTAACCTATGCAACTTAATACTGCATTTAATCGCAAAAGCAAGTATAATCCAACTATCAGAATCTAATATAATAATTATATATAAAAATGAACACTTACATTTAGGTTCTAAAATAACACAATCCCTAAATGAGGACAGAATCAGCCTGAAATATTGCACAGAAAACTAGACGGGGGAGAAGCTCAATACCTCCATGTAAAAAGTAAAGAACAAACAAAAAAGAACTCAATTATTAATATGCCACTATTTTAATATAGGTATTGAAAAATATTTTACAAAACGTTACTTACCTTAGAGATCTGAAAAAATGAGGACTTCTGAATAAACTACAATCAGTCTCTTCCAAAGAGAGAATTGTCTAACTTTTCCACTACTTTCAAATAGGGAGTGGAAGATATTTTAGGCCTGGCCAAATATCACTGGAAGAAAATGCGTTCACATGTTTGGCTGCATTTTGCATTCCATCCTGTTGCTCTGGCATACAGACGCAGCTAATTATAATCTGTGACATAAGCGGCTAATTCTACTGCTAAAATCGTTGTGTACTGACTCCAGAAATGAACTGCCCCACTGTAAGACATAATCAATCTATAATGCATATTAAAATGGCCCAACCTGTCATGTAACACCAACCAGTTTATTAAATTCTGAGAATACGCAGCACTTCATAGGATCTGCATGTAAAAACTATTAACATTGTCAGCTGCCAACAGCACACAATGCAAAATTAGAAACAAAAAAGGCTTCTACTCTCTTTTCTGAATCCAATATGTAACATCAAACTGAATTTTAATAGTAATTTTTCCTGAAACTTTTAATCTTAATGCTAACATTATTCTAACTGTAATCTATACCAACTGGTACATAAAGTCTCTTAAAAAAAGTAAATACATAAACCTATAACACCACATATGAATTTTATACAATAACTACACTAACAATTACCAATCTTTCTGCAAAGTCAAACCAGTCTTGGTATTTAAGAACTACAGATTCACAGAATTGTTGGACTTGGAAGGGACGTCTAGAGATCATCTAGTCCAAATCCCTGCTAAAGCAGGACTGCCAGGATTGCATCCAGGTGGGTTTTGAACGTCTCCAAAGACGGAGACTCCATGACCTCCCTGGGCAGCCTGTGCCAGGGCTCTCTCACCCTCACAGTGAAAAAGTTCTTCCTCATATTTAAATGAAACTTCCTGTGTTCCAGCTTGTGCCCATTGCCCCTTGTCCTATCACTGGGCACTACTGAAAGAGTCTGGCTCCATCCTCTCTGCACCCATCCTTTAGATATTTATAGACATAAGAAAGATGCATATGAATAGCAATATATCTATTTATGTATATATATACACACATATATAAAAAGTTGCATATACTACACATTTTAAGACGGCATCATAAAATTATAAGACATCTTTTTTTCATTTAAGTTTTCCATCTCAAAGGCAGAGACAAGAATTTCAGCCTGGCACTGCTCACATTAGGCTGACTATACAAACACTAACCAACAGACTTTCTATTCAACCTACGATATTTTAGAATCTGTGCTGGTAGCTGTCTGCAATTTAAAAAGCATTAAACCACATATTTTTAGGATTTACAGAAGAAAAGTTTTTGCTATGCAAAGCATTGCAATCATCATCCATATGTTTGGACAATTTCATTCCTCAGATGAAGATCCTACCAGACATTTAACAGCTGCAGATCATAAATTTATGGCTGACACAAATCCAACTGATTACAGACTAACAAGACACTTTTTTCCCCTTTATGAATTCTGTGGCCTTTAATCTTTTATCAGACTCTGTTTACATATATAAATGGAGAAGTTCTTTTCTATACAAAGGAATTAATTCAGCACTATCTGACAAAAATGACAAATATTTTTTGTAATAAAATATTCATCATTATCTGTAAAACAGCTTAATCTCATGGATTTATGAAAGATAAACTGGAATGAAAGCAATTGTACATTGTGTTAATACCAAAGCTTTTCTTTAATTGAAATTCCCTTTAAGTATTCGAGGAAGAAACTTATAAATGTCAGATACTTTTGAAGGGTTCACTAGGTGATTTGGTATTCACGTTCAGGGATCTCCTGCAAAATCTTTTGTACATTTTTGGAGAAAACCAAAGGATCATATGAAACTAGACAGAAGATTCCAAAAAGCAACATTTTAACTGCATTTTAATGTTTCCTTTGGGCATATTTGTAAGTATTTGATTTCCTGATTTATAAAAATAGACTAACATAGTACCCAGCTACAGAAAGATATGAGATTGTATCACTCAGTAGCTCTCTTACGGACAGAATGTTGTTATTTTCCAGGTATGCTTATTCTTCTTGTTCTAGATTCATACTGTCTTTTGTCTGCTCTTCTACCTATCTGCAAAGTAGATATTCTAAAAATTAAAAGAAAGAAAATACCTCAGTTAGTATCTTCTGAAGTTCTCATGAAGTAGGACTGAAGCAAGAGCAACTGTCAGCGAGTTCTGGATCATCTGAAGGCAGCTGTCTTCCGATTTGAATGTAAAGAATGGGAACAGAAAGGAAAAGAAATCATGAGCGTGGAGAAAGAACAAGATGCATTTCTGAATTGCTCTCGACTACTTTACTAACGTTTTACAAGTGATGGACTAAAATCCACTAAGACTAAAATTGTGGAACACAAATGAAACACTGGACATCCAATGCTGTTTGTACTGCAAATCATAGAATCATAGAACAATTCAGGTTGGAAAAGACCCTTGGGATCATCGAGTCTAACCATTAACCCTACACTACAGGTCACCCCTAAACCATATCACCCAACGCCACATCTAAGCGACCCCTGAACACATCCAGGGCTGGTGACTCAACCACCTCCCCAGGCAGTCTATTCCAGTGTCTGACCACTCTTTCTGTGAATAATTTCTTCCTAATGTCCATGTTCATGACAGCATAGTTTACAATAAACGAGAAATACATACTAGTCAAAAATCCATGTGAAAAAGTAATAAAAAATATTTCTGCAACAATGTTAAAGTTCCATCTAGCATTAGGATGCATTACTATAATGAACAATGACTTCAATTATGGGGTTTCATGGCATATGCACAAAAACTATGTCTTTCTCTTTGTCAAGTGATTATCTTCACAGTTTAAGAGTGATGTCTCGTTCCTCACCAAAAATTGCCAACCTCCTTTTTAATTGGATTTTGAAAGTCAATGACTGAAGACTTAGTCCTGGAAAGGTAACTAAGCAAATGTATTTTCTGCCAGATTGTCAGAGTTCACTCCTAACAGCACTTGACTAACTACAACTACTTGCAAATTTATGCCATGAAAAACAATGACAAAAGATAGACAAACTGTGGTTTGAACATTCTATCATTAAAAGACAGCACTTTTTTTCCAGAGCAAAAAATTAGAATCTTGACAATAATTCTGTGTATACCTACATGATTTCAAGAACATCCGCTTCAGCCTCAAAATACAAAACAACATAGTTGTGGAGAAGATAATGACTATCATGTATCAGTATAGTTCATCTAACTAAACCAGACATAGAAGCTGCACTGCAAACGATAGTTAATAATGAGGTTAAGTAAGAGTGGAAGTCCTCTACATGCAAACATTTATATTCTAATAAGAATCTAACAAGATTCTAATAAGAATCACTGAAAGCAAAAACTAAACTCAAACAAATTCTCAAGCAAACAAACTGGGGAGTAATTTCATTAACGGCCAGAAAATATAAAAGGTTAATTAGATACTCTAGATTTCCAAGAACTGAGGAGAAATGTCCAAGTCTTCTTGATTCTTGTTCTTGTGCATGCCAGTCAGTTGTGAGCTTAAATAATGATGCAGCAGAAAAATCAGCTTTTGATTTTTTCCAGTTTTTGTGACTCCCACTACTGTTAAAGACTCTAATATGATACAAAACAAGAACTGCAGCAATTATTTCAGTGTTTCCTTCCAAAGTATTTTGAGTTGGTTATGTCTGATGTGCTTTTTAAATTTGTACAGCACAGGATGTCAGGGCATTTATTGATAGACTGAGACCTTGCCCCTTCCTCCGAATAGGGCTATGGTGAATATCTAGAAAGGCATGTCAGCCTCTAAACTTGAGAAAAACAGTGAGCCACAGCAAAACCATAATCTTTCACACATAAATAGAAAGAAACATTTGAAAGCTACTGTTGCACCTATTAAAATTATAAAAATGTGATTATTTGAAATAGTTACTTAAACAAGATGGAAAATACTCTAGTAAGAATCTTTCAGAATATAAACACAGGATCTCCAAATACACAAGGCTTTAAGGGAGATCTGCTTAGATCATTTAATTATAACGATATCTATAAAAAGGTTCAAAGTATCTTTGAATCATAGAATAGATTTGGCTGGAAAAGACCTTTAAGATCATCGAGTCCGACCAAGTGGCTGTCAAGGCAGCCACTAAACCATGCCCCTAAGCATGACATCTTCTCATCTTCTAAACACCCCCAGGGATAGTGACTCAACTACCTCCCTGGGCGGCCTGTTCCAGTGTCTGACAACACTTTCAGTGAAGAAGTTCCTCCTAATATCCAATCTAAACCTCCCCCGGCACAATTTGAGGCCTTTTCCTCTCATCCTATCACTAACTACTAGGAAGAAGATACTAACTCCCACCTCACTACAGCCTCCTTTCAGGTAGTTGTAGAAAGCAATAAGGCCTCCCCTCAGATTCCTTTTCTCCAGCCTAAACAGCCCCAGTTACCTCAGCTCCTCCTCATAAGACTTATTCTCCAGACCCTCAACCAGCTTTGTTGCCCTTCTTTGGACATGCTCCATCTTCTCAATGTCTTTCTTGTAGTGAGAGGCTCAAAACTGAACGCAGGATTCAGGGTGCAGCCTCACACATTAGAGTATGAACAAGAATAAACTAAAACAGAAACAAAAAAAGAAAACCTGAAAACGACTATGCAAGATAAGATTAAAACAAATGGACTTATAACTCAGTGCGTCAGTGCACAGCAGGTCCTTGTGTCTAGTTTCTAGGATTTTTTCCAGCTGTAAGCACAAACAGCTGGCTGTGAGTTTATTGCCTGATCATCTTTGTAGTATTTCAATCTCTGCTTCAGGTGTTATCTCCCAGTTCCTTACTGCCACACTCCTCTATGCTTTCTTTTTTCCACATTCTGTCACATGGACTCACCTCTCCAGTATACTCAGCAGCTTCAGAATAGGAACTTTTATCACCTACTGTTCACCTCCTCTACTCACTCTCTTTTCAAATTTACATAGGTGCAAAATGAATTTAATATAATATAACATATGATGAATTTATGTAGATTGAAACTGTCACAGGGGGCTAGTTAGGCTGCTTTTTTTTGTTGGGGGGGTATGTTAAATTGTATCTCCTACTTGGATTGCATCTTCACACAATTTGACTAAAAAATATTTAATTTCTGTGGGTTTAATTCTGCATGATCCTTTAGAAAGGTTAAGCAGTGAGGCAACAAGTGAAATGCAGCATGTGTACTTTGTGCTTGCTGTGAAGAAGAGCCTGATAGGTGAACTGAAACAGATATAACACGGGATAAATTGCTCTTCTAAGAGCAAACAGGTTTGTAGACCTGTTTGCTAAGGTTTGTAGACCCTTTCAAAGAGTCAAGGAGGAAAAGAGTATTTTGGAGTCTGTGGCTTGTGTGAAGTCTGGAAGACACAGTGGAGAGACTCTGCTACAGTAGTATCTTAAAGGCAGAAAATGTTGCCTAACTTCTGGACAAGAGACTTGAGTAAAGTGCTTTTTAACAGGTTCATTATTTTATGCATTGCAATTTTTATTTTAGGATATGATTCACTGTGCACCTACTCACACCTCCATCTGCAAGCACTCCGTGACAGGCAGAACAGGATATTTACAGTTGTATTCCATACAGTGTGTCAAATCACTTCTACAACTGATGTCAACAGCATTGACAATCAACAGAAAACCATATTTCATGTCCTTTGGTCACCTTTGACATAATTTGTCCTTTATTAAAAAAACAAAAGAAAAAACCCAAATCCACTAAACATCCAAAGCAGGATAGTCTAGTCTTCTGCCTTGGGGTTCCTGAACTACAAATAACTCAGGTGAAATACATCACCCAGTACAGGTGGCCATATGAAGCAGAAAACTGAGTAACTGTCCCTCAGTGGTAGAATAAGTTCAATATGTATTGCAAGTTCTGCCTCTGTACCCATATTCTCATATCTCATGAAGTTTTATACAGATACAAACCCTAAAGAAGATGATGAGTTTACCACTCTTGCTTTCTTCCTATTTTGTCTCTTTATCTTGTTTGCTTCCTTACTCAGATGTATCAGAAGTATAGCTGATGGAGAGATATAAAAGCCCTCCCCATTTTTTAATCATTAAATGTTACTTTCAGTAACATAATACATATTTAATTCTGACATCACCAAGCAGGTGTATCTAATCTGCATTTAAAATAAAAGCATATTAAAGCATCTAAAACTCTGTTTAAATCCTGTGATTCAGTGTTTACTTCATTAGTTAATATAGTGTTTTCATTGAGTAGTAGCACGTGTCTTCTGAGAGAGAAAGAGAATGGGGAAGGGGGAGAGGGAGGGGGAGGGAAGGGAAGGAAAGGAAAAAGGAAAGGAAAGGAAAAAGGAAAGGAAAAAGGAAAGGAAAAAGGAAAGGAAAAAGGAAAGGAAAAATGTTTCCTCTTCCAAAAGTTTTAGAAAAAGAGAAGTGGAAATATGAAAACTACAGTGCTCTGGCAAGGACGCTGTAACCATGGTCCCAGAACTAATTCCCTGAAAGACTCAATGCTCAGAAAGTTTTAGTGGATTGCAGTTTTATATTTGAAGCAACTGACTACAGAATTATATCCACAGGAGGAATCTGCATTAGTTTAATTTTCTGAAAACTGCAGTCATCAATAACAGTGAAAAAAAAGATGGAACACTATTTAAATACTTAAGATAAAAGATACAGTAGTAATATTGTGCTTGTTCCCTGTTAAACAACTGTAAAAAGTTATTGTGGGATGGTCATACTACAAAGCAGCATGTAGGCTCAAAGAGAACGAGTAAGACTGGCTGCTCACGTAGTATAAACTAAATTAACATATTTGTAATAATTTGTTATGAATCCTAAAGACAACTGGTTTAATTTCTTTTGTGGTACAGGTTCAGCTTTCAATATCACAGACGTACTTGCAAAAAATGAACTAAAATGTAAAAGCTTACAGAAAAAAATGGAAGAAAATAAATAAAATTGAAGGAAGAATTAACCCAAAGGTATTTTTTAGCTAATATGTAAAATGTGATCATTTACCTAACTAAATCTTGCTCCAGGAGAAATAAGGATGTTAGCATAAATCAATGAGTAAGCTAAACAAGCATATACAGAATCTGTATCCTAAATTTTATTTAGCAATAATCTAGACAAAACTACGTTTTAAATATTTTCTTATTACATGATTGCCTGCATTCACATGTTCTACTGAATATTCACTGTGAAAGACAAACAGGAATAA